GATGTCATTTATTTAGGAAAGCATTTTTCATGTTTCAGCTTCATTTACAATATGTTAATTGGGAAGTTCATAATTAATTTTTTCCTGTGTCAAAAAGAAATTAAACTACAATATCTTTTTTTTTGTTATCTGTATAGTGTAATGCGAACAGAGACGTATTTGAATTTTAGCAGCATATTTTTGTTTCTAATAGAGGTAATTGATTGTCAACCGAACAGCTCAAAAGAAAAAACAATATAGATTCATTATATTATGAATCTCTTTTTTGGTTTGTCTCAAATACTTCGATTGTTCTCCAAGAATAATATGAATATTACATTGTTCATCTGTAGTCCTTTAAAGAACTATATATATCAACGTATTTATTAAAATATCCTATATTCATCAATAATAACAAATAAAAATCAACTATTTTATTTGATGACAAAAAATAAAAATTTCATCTAGAATTTTGGATCGGTAAAAGTTTATTTTTGTTTTTTAATAGGAATATAATTTCCATTATGTAGAAAACATTGTTTAAAAACATTAATTTGTGATCGATTTCTGTACGAAATGTCATTGGATCGATGACCTAAATTTCGAAGCATTTCATAAACAATTTCTCCAGCCCAAAATAAAGCATTGGAACTGTTTTTAACTGATCCATTAAGTTTATCTTGATTTAATTCAATTTCGAATTCACCATCAATCATAAATGTTGATCCATGAGAAATACAAAAAACATACGGAAGAGAATCATTATTTTCTTTTTGATTTTTTTCATCAATTGGATAAATATTCATGATGGGCATTTCACCATTTTCACATTGGACTTTAAGACACATTAATTGATAATGTAATAATAAATATTGATTGAAATAAATTGAATTTTCTATTAAATTTGACTGCGATAATATTCCATGTGTTAAGAAACAGCTAGATTTACCACAAATTTGATACATATTTTGTAAAATTTCTGGTTTGAATAATCTATCAGCAATAATTTGTAAAGCATTTTCAATAATTGATACTTGGCCTGATGTAAAACCATTGTGAATGTCATAAAAAATTTCAAAGTTTTCTTGAGAATTTTGTGATTTAATTCGTTTTGCCTGACTACAATAAATCTGTTCTTCGTTTTCTAATATATCACTATCACTATCACTATCATAGGCTGTTCTTTGAAAGTTTTCACAATCAGATAATGAAGAAATAGATTCTTCATATTCAATAGAATCTAATGTTTGATAACCACGACCTAAACACTATATTACAATGTGAAAACATGAATACACATATATACAGTAACTTACTTGACATTTAAGTTGCCGTAAAAAATTGCATGGTAGTATATGTCGTGGCATTTGATTTGTTAATAAAAAACGAAAGATTGTTTTCTTGATAATGTATGTCGAATAATGAAGTGAATATATGTTAGTTTTAGCAGTGTCTAGGTCTGCTTATATAGGCAAGTTGTTGTTTACAATGGAGAATTTTTGTTCGGTATGACGTTATTGATGTTACTAAGGCACTTTTTAAATGTTGTTTATTGATTGTTTGGCATGATTCTTTTTTTTAACAATTTATTTATGGAGAGAATCATGACACATCGATTGAAATCAGCCTTGAGGCTTTTTCATTTTGAAGAAAAGTTCAAGAATATGTCAATGTCACAAAAAAATAGATGTACATCAGCCAGGTATAATCTTTCCATTGATCGACATTTCTATTTATTTTTTCTTTTGTAAACTTTTTTCTTTATTTCTTTTCATTGATACTTGAAAAAGTAGGTCACATTTATAAGCAAGATGAGCAACATATTGAATCTAGTGTATGTGTTTTTTTTGGCAGTTCTGCATGACGTGATTTCGTTTTCTAACATAAATGTGAAATGAAATTTGCATTTGTCCTTTCTCTTTAATTTCAATACTATATATAAAGATAATCTGTAATTTATAGATAAGTTCGTATTCTTTTCAGAGAAACAATGCAAAAATATTAAAAGCAAGGGGTATCTTTATAATCTAACTTGTACGATGTTATTCAAGAAAGACAAATAAATTGGCAACGATAGATCAAGAAACTGTGATGCTTGCACTCTGAAAATTCATATAATTGGGCCAGAGCTCTTGATCTGAGAAGTTAGGTTTCATAACAACTACTCATATGCATTCTGAGAATCTTATCGAGAAACATAGCGTATTTGAGCAAATCACAGAACATCATATTGCTTTAAAAATGATTTTAGAGATGTTTATTTTTTTAGAGACGAAAAATTTTGTTTTTTTTGTGAAAGAAGGCATTTTGTGATCAGGTAATAGGAAAAGGCAGTTTCAGAAAATACCACGTGTGATCACATGATTTTCTAACAATCCTTATGATGTAACGAGCTCTAGAAACAGCATCGTACGAAAGAAAAATGGTGAATTAGAATGAAACAAGTATTACACATTTCGTAGTTAGAAA